ACACACACAAATAAACGATAGTAAAAAAGCGAGGGCCCTCAAAATATGGGAAACAAACATGTGTTTCTCTAGTTTGTGCGTTTTTCTGCATCTCGCCAGGAAAGTGTGCGCCCTCCGCCTGGGCCACGTGGCTGCCGGAGCTCTCGGGCGGAGCGAGCAAGCACCGAAACGGCGGGCCCTGACCCCTCCCAAGTCACGAAGAAAACGTGGCGTGCCGCGCCGGCGGTCCGCTCAAGCTACCACTGACGGTCGTCATGCCATCTCGCGTAAGACTCTTGTCTTTTCGTCGCTCATGTGGGCCTGGATTTGGAGCCGCCTGGGGGCATGAGGTGTGGCCCAGCACGGGTTCTGGCCAGTAGGAAGGGCGGGCAGTTTCGAGGTTCTGGGTCCGGCAAGGTTTTTGACTTCTCCAGCCTCCCGAGGCCGTTTTCGCGCACCGCAATTGTGAAAAACTGATCCAGGGGGGCGATGAAAATCTGCCCTGGGTGGACCCCAGGAGGGGTCTCGGGACTGATGTTGACCAGGTTTGCCTTCATCCCTCTCCCTCCGGACCAATGTTGCGGGGCTCCAGCCAGTTCAGACCCCTTTGCCGCCCCCAATGCCCAGAAGGCTTCATGCAGACCCTGGGAGGGTGTTTTCTCTGATGAGGGCGGCGGAGATACCAACGGCCACTCCACGATGGGAGTTACCCCCGGCTTCCAGACCCTGGATTTCTTATCCAAGGGTTCCTTGCAGTCGGACCTGGGACAGGAAAACATCCTTCAAGAACATGAGAGACCCTCCGCCGGCCAAGACACACAGAACATCCAAGCGTACCCCCCCCCCAGGATGCACAGAGTCGTCCAACAAGCACGAAGAACATCAGGGCACCCTCCCCGAGTCGACCTCCACCTGCTCCCTCGGCCCGACTACTGCAGTCCAAGCCCTCGCCGCGGGACATCTCAGGCGACGCGCCCAGACCGCCCCACCGACACGTCTAGGGGGGTGCGACGAGGCGGGCTTGTTGCTACAAGGACCGGGTGGTGGTGGAGGGGGCTCTCCGTGGGCTCCCCGGAGGCCCGAAAGGGGCTACGTCCAGACACCTCGATCCTCAAGGCTGGGGGCGTTGACGTGAGGAGGAGGGGGGGGAGGAGGAGGAGGAGGAGGAGAAGGAGGCGGAGGAGGAGGAGGAAGGAGGAGCAGGAGGAGGAGGAGGAGGAGATGGAAGAGGAGGAGGAGGAGGAGGAGGAGGAGGAGGAGAAGGAAGAGGAGGAGGAGGAGGAGGAGGAGGAGGAGGAGGAGGCCGCGCCGCGGCGGCACATGCTGCGCGGAAGGTTCGGAAGGTGGGGGAGATCCCCCTCGGTCCGAAAGGGCGAGCCCAACGTCCCAGGGTGCCCGCCTGAGCCAGTTCGGCGCCCCAGCCCGCTCAGCCGCCGAGGGGGCCCAGGACCGAGCCGGCTCAGCAGCTGCAGCGGGCCAGGCTCACGCCAGGCTTAAGTCGGGCTTGTCCCCCTACAGGGGGATTTTTTACGAAAAATGCAAAATACCAACAAGAATAATCAAAAATTACGCTACCGAGGAACCCCACATACTTAATTTAAATCTTATGTCAACGCCTGCTACGCTGTCACGCTCTCCGACCCTGGCACGCGTAGACGCCGCGGTGAGAGACCACCCCCTGCGCACCCCCCCTGGTGTCGAGAAAGTGCCACGCCTGCCACGCTCTCCGACCCTGGCACGCATAGACGCCGCGGTGAGAGACCACCCCCTGCGCACCACCCCTGGTGCCGAGAAAGTGCCACGCCTGCCACGCTCTCCGACCCTGGCACGCATAGACGCCGCGGTGGGAGACCACCCCTGCGCACCCTCTCTGGTGTCGAGAAAATGCCGCGCCCGCCACGCTCTCCGACCCTGGCACGCATAGGCGCCGCGGTGAGAGACCACCCCCTGCGCACCCCCCCTGGTGTCATGAAAGTGCCACGCCTGCCACGCTCTCCGACTCTGGCACGCATAGATGCCGCGGTGAGAGACCACCCCTTGCGCACCTCCTCTGGTGTCGAGAAAGTGCCACGCCTGCCACGCTCTCCGACCCTGGCACGCATAAGGGCCGCGGTGAGACACCACCCCCGTGCGCACCCTCTCTGGTGTCGAGAAAGTGCCACGCCTGTCACGCTCTCCGACCCTGGCACGCATAGACGCCGCGGTGAGAGACCACCCCCTGCGCACCCCCCCTGGTGTCGAGAAAGTGCCACGCCTGCCACGACGACCCTGCACCACGCCGCGGTGAGCACCACCCCCTGCGCACCCCCCTGGTGTCGAGAAGTGCCACGCCTGCACGCTCTCCGACTGGCACGCATAGGGGCCGCGGTGAGAGACCACCCCCTACGCACCCCCCTGGTGTCGAGAAAGTGCCACGCCTGCCACGCTCTCCGACCCTGGCACGCATAGACGCCGCGGTGAGAGACCACCCCTGCGCACCCTCTCTGGTGTCGAGAAAGTGCCGCGCCCGCCACGCTCTCCGACCCTGGCACGCATAGACGCCGCGGTGAGAGACCACCCCCTGCGCACCCCCCCTGGTGTCGAGAAGTGCCACGCCTGCCACGCTCTCCGACCCTGGCACGCATAGACGCCGCGGTGAGAGACCACCCCCTGCGCACACCCCTTCTGGTGTCGAGAAAGTGCCACGCCTGCCACGCTCTCCGACCCTGGCACGCATAAGGGCCGCGGTGAGAAACCCCCCTGCGCACCTTCTCTGGTGTCGAGAAAGTGCCACGCCTGCCACGCTCTCCGACCCTGGCTCGCATAGACGCCGCGGTGAGAGACCACCCCTGCGCACCCTCTTGGTGTCCGAGAAAGTGTCACGCCTGCCACGCTCTCCGACCCTGGCACGCATAGACGCCGCGGTGAGAAACCACCCCTGCGCACCCTCTCTGGTGTCGAGAAAATGCCGCGCCCGCCACGCTCTCCGACCCTGGCACGCGTAAAGGCCGCGGTGAGAGACCACCCCCTTGCGCACCCCCTCTGGTGTCGAGAAAGTGCCACGCCTGTCACGCTCTCCGACCCTGGCACGCATAGACGCCGCGGTGAGAGACCACCCCCTGCGCACCCCCCTCTGGTGTCGAGAAAGTGCCACGCCTGCCACGCTCTCCGACCCTGGCACGCATAGACGCCGCGGTGAGAAACCAGCCCCTGCGCACCCTCTCTGGTGTCGAGAAAGTGCCACGCCTGCCACGCTCTCCGACCCTGGCTCGCATAGTGGCCGCGGTGAGAGACCACCCCCTGAGCAGCCTCTCTGGTGTCGAGAAAGCGCCGCGCCCGCCACGATCTCGGACCCTCCCCTGCGCACCCTCTTTGGTGTCGAGAAAGTGCCACGCCTGCCACGCTCTCCGACCCTGGCACGCATAGACGCCGCGGTGAGAGACCACCCCCTGCGCACCCCCCTGGTGTCGAGAAAGTCCACGCCTGCCACGCTCTCCGACCCTGGCTCGCATAGACGCCGCGGTGAGAGACCACCCCTGCGCACCCTCTCTGGTGTCGAGAAAGTGCCACGCATGCCACGCTCTCCGACCCTGGCTCGCATAGACGCCGCGGTGAGAGACCACCCCTGCGCACCCTCTCTGGTGTCGAGAAAGTGCCACGCCTGGCTCCGACCCTGGCTCGCCCGCGGTGAGAGACCACGCATCTCCGAAAGTGCCCCTGGCTCCGCTGGCTCGCATGCCGCGGTGAGAGACCACCCCTGCGCACCCCTCTGGTGTCGAGAAAGTGCCACGCCTGCCACGCTCTCCGACCCTGGCTCGCATAGACGCCGCGGTGAGAGACCACCCCTGCGCACCCTCTCTGGTGTCGAGAAAGTGCCACGCCTGCCACGCTCTCCGACCCTGGCTCGCATAGACGCCGCGGTGAGAGACCACCCCTGCGCACCCTCTCTGGTGTCGAGAAAGTGCCACGCCTGCCACGCTCTCCGACCCTGGCTCGCATAGACGCCGCGGTGAGAGACCATCCCTGCGCACCCTCTCTGGTGTCGAGAAAGTGCCACGCCTGCCACGCTCTCCGACCCTGGCTCGCATAGACGCCGCGGTGAGAGACCACCCCTGCGCACCCACCCTCTTTGGTGTCGAGAAAGTGCCACGCCTGCTATGCTCTCCGACCCTGGCTCGCATAGACGCCGCGGTGAGAGACCACCCCTGCGCACCCCTCTGGTGTCGAGAAAGTGCCACGCCTGCCACGCTCTCCGACCCTGGCTCGCATAGACGCCGCGGTGAGAGACCACCCCTGCGCACCCTCTCTGGTGTCGAGAAAGTGCCACGCCTGCCACGCTCTCCGACCCTGGCTCGCATAGACGCCGCGGTGAGAGACCACCCCTGCGCACCCTCTCTGGTGTCGAGAAAGTGCCACGCCTGCCACGCTCTGAGCGGTGCTGTGAGGAGGAGGGGAGGTGTGAGGTGAGACGCGGGTGCGACGCGGCAGGAAATGAGCGCGGGTGCGGCGCAGCAGGGAAGAGATATGGGGACTATGTTTTGAATGTTTTTTGGCCTTCTAGAGGTATGTTTGAGGTATGTTTTATTTTTCGTCGAAAATCCCCCCGTAGGCGGACACGCCTGACATAAGACCAGGCCCAGTAGGCAGCGAGCTCGCTCGGCGGCAGGGCGGGCCCAGAGAGCGCCGCCTTGAGGTCCGATGGCGCGGGAGAGGTGCAGCACTGTGGGACATCACAGCCAGGGCGAGCCCCGGGGCCTGGAGCCAGGCGAAACTTCCGGGCCTTCCACATCGGGGTCCGAGCGGACGGGGTCGGAGGATCGCGCCACGTCGCCGATGAATCGGCGGTGCGTCTCGATGCGGAGCCCCATCTCGCCATGCCGACATCACCGATGCATCGGCGGTGCGGCGCGATTTTCTGACCCCGTCTACTCGGACGACATGCGGGAGGACATCCACAACGCCCGGAGCGAAGTGCGTCATTGCGGCGCCAGGGCGTCGGGGCGAGCGGATTCGGCAGGGAACTCCGCGGGCCCTCGCGAAAGGACCTCGACGTCCTGTCCACGGGCCCGGACTGGAAGGGCGCGCGCGGCCTGCTGCCCTTGGGCTGCTGCGTGGTGAGGCCGTGGAGCGAGGCCCAGGGCAGCGACGCGGCAGAGCTGCTCGAGGCCGCTGCCGCGCCGTCGCCGCCGCCTCTTGCCGCCGCCGCCGCCCTCGTGCTCCGCGGCGCTCACGCTGGGCCGTCGGGGGCCCTTCTCGTCGCTGCGGCTGGGTCGACCCTCGGCCTCCGGGTGTCAGCTGGTCGGTCTGAGGACCTTCGTGGGGCCTGCCAAATGAGTCTGTGGGGTTCGAGATCGAAAATATATTTCGACGCCTGCTCGACTCTAGCTCTCCAGCTCGACTCAAGTTCGACTCCCGTCGACGGACGTTCGACGCAGCACCAGCGCATTGACGCATCAGTGGCGCGAGTGGCTCCAGGAAGGTCCCCAGGACGAGCATCCGACAGGTGAGATCGTCAAGAGAGGTCTAAGGGTCGGCTGTGCGGGGGCAGGGGGGGACCGAGGAGAGCGCCGAGGTGGTCGTCTCGCCGTCGTTTTCTGGTGGCTTATTGGATGCCGCCTGGTGATCCTCCGCCTTCTGCCGGATGTGAACGGGAGACTTGTAGATGTTTCCTGAGGTCCTCGCAGCTGCAGCCTTCGCCGCCGTTGCGGTCGCCGCCGGCACCGTTCCCGTCGCCCTCGCCGAAGCCGCGGTCGCCGCCGGCATCGTCCTCGCCTCCCTCTCGCCGAAGCCGCCGCCGTCGCCGCCGTCGCCCGCGCCGCCCTCGCCGCCGTCGCCGCGGTCGCCGCCGTCGCCGCGGTCGCCCCGACGTCGCCCCCGCCGCCGCCGCCGCCTGGGCGGCGGCGGCGGCGAGGGCGGCGGCGGGGCGCCGCTGGAGGCCGGGTGCCGCTACTTCGACCTGCGCAGGCCGGGGGCGGCTCGGAGCTCGGCCGGGGGCGGGCGTCGGCACCGCCGGCGGCGTCGGCGCCGTCCTCGGCGCCGTCCTCGCCGTCCTCGTCGTCTTGGCCGGCGGCGCGCTCGCCGTCCTCCGCGGCGTCGCCGTCGTCCTCGCAGGTGCCGCCGTCGTCGTCGGCGTTGTCGACCTTGTCGGCATCGTCCCCGTC